AAACTCAGCTGATCTTTGCCCCCTCCAGTGCCTGAACTCTCAAAGTTTCTTTTAGAGCCTGCAGAGAACAGAAAAAAGGCTGATGGAGAGGGGAGTCTTGAAGGAAAAACCTGCCTTGAAGTGGGGCTCCAGACCTCCAGCCAAGAGCTCTTCTCCAGTGAGGCAGCACTGGCTTGAAAGAAAAATATTGTTATCAACCCCAGAGCTGGAAGAACATTGAGTTTCAGTCATGGAACAGCTTTCAGTGCCTCTCCCAGAGCCAGCAGGACTCAGCAGTGCTGGAGGGAGATTTTACTTCATGCACTGCACATCCTCCTCTCCTCCTGCAGTTCAGCCCCAGCCTCGGGCAGGGCTTTGTCCTCCTGGGCAGCTCAGACCCAGCACTGGGCAGGTGAGATTGGCCCAAGCTCCAGGTGGAATCTGGCAGGACCTGAAACCCTCCAAGCACCACTCAGTGCATTATTTTTGTGGCACTCACTCACTGAAGGGGAGCAGAAGAACCCCAGTTTTAAGCAGAGATTGACTGGGGGCTCACACAAGCACAGCCTGAGAGGACCAAGAATTTCCTTCATAATTGTACAAGTTTTTGTGAAATACATCTCAGCACAGCTAAGCGAGCGCACAGAGCTTTAGCAAAGTGCAATTTTAGGATCTCGCTGAATACTTCTCCATGCAGCCACTAAGGGTTAGCACAGCCAAGAAAACTCTTTTCCATGAGTCACAGAAGGATTCTGAATGGGAAGAGACCGTGCTGCACACAATCTGTTTTATCTTGTGCTGGCTGGATGGGAACCTTGGGCTGCAGATTCGATTCAAAACCTCTGGGACATTTTAGGATGCTGCTCCCCTGTCGGGTTATCCCTGGGAGGATCAGAAGGGTTTCTTGGAAAGCACTTTGCTTTCTCTCCCTACATGCACCGTGCCCATCCACACAGAAATCCAGCACATCCAACCCCACCAAACCCCTGGCTGCGGAGAGCTTCAGAACGCTTAAAGTTCAAGGCAAATATTTGCTGAGAAACCAGCTGAGCACTGAGGCCAAGACAAACCTCGGTTTTCAGGGCAACGAGAGTCAGCTGAGGAGAGGACTCAGGACTCCCAGCTGCAGCTGCTGGAGCTCAGGGAGCCTCAGGAATTCCTTGCTGGGATGAAATCCCTGCTCCTCCAGAGCCACCAGGGCACAGAAGCCTCGGTGACACTGCTGGAGATGCTCCCCACGCTCGGCAGGCAGCTGCTGCTGGGTTCTGCTGAGCTTTGGAGGTTCTGGAGCGTGGAGATTTGGTTTGGATCCTGGCAGGATCCCTCATCCCGGCTCTGTCTGGGCAGCAGGAACATTCCTGGCGCTGGTTCGTGTCTCAGAGCACTGGAACTCCTGACACTGAGGGAATCCACGTGCTGCAGGGGCAGAGGGGAGCAGGGCAGGCACAGACCTGAGCTTTGTCTCCCCTGGATCCTCCTTTCTAGGGAGCTTCGGAGGGATTTTCCAAGCACGTCGCCAGCTCAGCGTCAGCAGGGGAGGAATGGTGCACAAAACCCACCGAGGGCGAGGAGAGGCTGTGGAGAACATAGAGCAGGGGATGATGATGTGCACAGCAGGATGCATTCCCCTCGTTCCACCAGCTCAGCTCTGCTCTTTTCCCTCTGCTGCTGAAAGGTTTGGTTTGAAGCAGGGCTGTGCATAACACACAGCACATGGCTCCCTTCCCCAGGGCAGCCTTCAGCTCAAAAATACACTTTTTTTTTTCACCTCCATGGATTCTTTTTAGCGTTTCTCTCCTTTTCTTTGTTCTTTAAATGTTATTTTCAACACAATTTCCAGTAGCTCTGCCCCATTTCTCAGGACACTGGCACTGCTTCATCCCAGTCCCCAAAATAACACAAAAACCATCTGTGACAACAAATATTACAGCAAAACCTGTGCTGAGAGATGCTACACAGAGAGGAAGCATCAGTGCTGGGAGTGGGGATGTCTGACTGTCCCAAAGGAACCTCAGCTCTCATGAAATCTCTTATTTATTCAGGGATAAGAGCCAATTATTCACCATTGGAACAAAGCACCCCCATCAGCTTCCCCCTGTGACGATTTGGGAATTCTGCACGGAGCTGGGGAAAGGAGAAGGACCCAAAATCTGATGGCTGAAGGCAGCAGGAGCAGGATTTGGTCTGCAGGGAACGTGACTGACCAGGGAGCAGCTCCCGGGCCCTTCCTTTAAAAAACAGATTTCACTCCTCAGCTCCCAACCTGGGGGGAGAAGAAAACCAAACCAACAACCCAACATCCCTGCGTGGTTCCTGTGGGAATGGCTCTGATAAATTGTGGTTTTTTTCTGTGGGTCACAGGCTAAAAAAAAGGGGTTTGTGTGCTGGAAGAGCAGCTCCCCAGGCAGGGGGAGGACAGGAATGTTTGGGGCCTGAAGGGAATTGTCCCACTGCAGCCCCTCGTGATCAGCATCTGCTGATGTTCCTAGAAAAATCCACGCTCTGCTGAATGACAAATGAGCTGAAAACAGCTCCAGCTGGCACAGAAAAAGGAATATTTCGCTTAACTGCCAGCTTGAGCTGCTGCTCCCTCAAGTGCTGCGCTGGCCTGACCCAGCTCCTGACCTGAGAGCAGAAATCTGGGGATGAAAAGAGGGAAAAAGGTTTCCCAAACCACAGGTAACAAAGTGAATCCCCAGTGAACTAAGAACTGCTCCCCTGGGTGGGGATATTTTGGTCACTGCTCTCCGGTGGGATGTATTAAAAACTTATTTTCAATATTATAATTAATGTACTATAATATTAATATTACAATTAATATAATTTATTTAATACAATTATAATTAATTTACTAGAATTATAATTAATTTAATACACTTTAAAGATTATAATTAATTTAATAATCCATTTGTGGGTGGACCAATCCTCTTGAAATACTGAGGGCAGCCCAGATTAGTGGGAGATGAAGCCTCTCTTCATTCAGCACCCAAAGAAACCATTTGTAAAAAATTAAGTAGATGCTCCATGTTGTTTTTTTCCTGAATAAAAGGACAACCTTTGGGATAAGAGATGAGAACTACATGACAAATATTGAACATTTTGTCACCTCTGTCCCCTCTCTTCTGGTGCCAGCACAAATACAACACATGGGGAAATATTTGTCCTAATGAGAGGCTTGGGAATAAATTATTAAAAAAAAAAAAAGCTTAGCATTGGGCTGGGGTAATAAACAGTCTGCAAAATTCTTCAGCAAAAAGTGGTTAATAAAAGCAGCTTTTACAGGATAAAGCTGGCTCAGATTTGTACTTTTGAGCACTTTGTTTTGCTGTCCCAGCAAAGATTTTGGGGAAATTTCTGGATTATTCCGAAGGGATTCCCACCAGCATGGATTTCTAGGAAATAATGAGAATCTGCATCTCTGATTTTTACACCAAAGCTGGTTCTGAAATTCAGCTTTAGGTTACTTGGGTGTTAAGTAGGAGCCAAACAAATAATTTAGGGGTTAAATCTGATCCACTTTCACAGATTAAAAAAAAAATTGAAACTGTAACAAACTCAAGTGAATATTCGGATAAATATTATCTCTAGAAGTCAAGAATTGGTGAAATAACTTTCTGAATACACCACAGGGTTATAAATAAGAAATATTCCCATAACCACCACCCATTCTACACACTCAAC